TGGAAGCTCTTACAAAATGCAAAGGGAGAGCTGACATTGAACAGCAACGCAGCAAACACCCACAGGCAGACCACTCAAACCCGATTGTCCAAATCCCAGATTCCAAATGGTTCTTAACAACCAACGGATTGAATCTACACTACGTATTAACACGGCAGGATTTCATCTCGTAAAATTATGAGCTGATGGGGGGAAAAAAAACAGCTGAGCTAGTAGTTCTCGGGATAAAAACTTGGGCTGTGATTCATCCGATGTGACATTACACCAAAGGACAGGTTTGCCTTAGGAGAATTCACACCGCCCCTGAAACTACTCCTTTGCACTCGCACAGCTCCTGCCAGCACAGGCACAAAGCTCTGCCAGCTCCACACCTGTTTTTTTCAGGATACAATTCAATATAACACACTTTAAGCATTGCCCAGCAAACCACAAATGTCTTTGGGGGGAAAGCTGAAGGAAAAGCCCGATTTCCAGGTCCGTACCTGCCCACTAAGCCCTCCTCTCAGTCAGCACTGGAAAAACACACAGAAAAAAACCAGGGCTTTCTAGAATCACTATCTTAAAAAACAGTTTTAATTTGTTTTTCTCCTCCCAGGTCTTTAAAACAACAAGTGTCAAACCCAGAATCCACGTGATGGGTCGAGTGCAGGGTCGAACGTGCGGCCACAACAGGAGGTGCCCCATCACCCACGGCTCACTGCAGACACCCATCTTGCTGTCTCAAAGCAGTCCTGCCTGCTCTCTTCAATACTGCATTTAAAGAAAACCAGCATTTTCTTCCCTGATCAGAGCCAAGACTCTTACAGGATCTTCTCTGTAGCTTATTCTTTCCCAGCACAGGAGATCCACATCATTACCGGCCACAGACACTTAGATGTGTAACTAGTCCGAGCCTCCCAGGACAGCCAGCATCGCTGTCCCTGCCATATGCTTAATTAATGCTGGGTGGGAGAAGTGATGAGAGGCCTTGCTGCACCCTGCATGGGAGAAAATGGTTCACTATTAGCAATTCTCACTCTCACAGTTAACCCTTTCCTCAGCTTGCTCTGACAGCTGCTGGCCTTGGGCAGGGGGGAATGTGCTTGGATTAGTGGTGCCAGGCAGCAGCTTGACACCCATAACAGCTCTCCCCACTGCCACCATTCCAGCAGCACCCTGGGGTGGTCCCTTGCGTATCTCTGGCCAAGAAGGTGCAGATAACTGCTGCCTGGAGTTGAACATTTCAAGGCTTTGCAGGTTAGATTGTACACTCTGGAAAACAGGATGCGTTTGAACAGCATCTTGGACAATGAAGCAGTCTGGCCCAAGAGGAGGTGATCCTGGAGAACACCTAATGGAGATCACATCCACTGTACTGCTGTTACGCACTTGCCCAGGTTTCCACCTGCAACACCCACAACACAGCCCTTCTCTGGCCTGGCCAGCTGCACCAACAGGCAAAGTGAGAACCAAACACCCCCGCACTCTGAAGGGAAAGTTGGGAGAAAAAGAATTTGCTAGAGCTGCCCTCTGCCTCCCTGGTGCTTTGCTTGGAAAGGAGAGGATGCACCCCTGAGAGCCACACACAAATCCTCCCCTGCACCACGAGCTATTTGCAAACAAGGTCTAGCCTTGTTCCTCGGGGCTGCAGCCGTTTCAAAAGCCAGGTATGCAAGCAAACAGGCTTCTTACTGGCAAGAGCAAGTGTCACTTGCCCAGCCTGCTCTCCTCCTCCACTCGGGGCTCATGAGCAAGCACTAGCACTAGGTCCACAGCTTGCAGCACACTCCCAATGCACTGGGCAGCCTGGGCATCCCACAGCACATCCAACAGGCAAAACAAATTAGAAAAACATCAAACTGCATCTTTAATTTCAAGCAGTCTAACGCTGCCAAATTCACCAATGCTTTTTTTCCTCTAGAGGTGAGCATTGGCTTCATCATTCCTTTCACCCCTCTATTTTGCAGCCAATTCTGCTTTTCTCCCTGACCCCATTCCTCTTACATCCACTGCTTCATGGGCTGGTGAATGCTATGCACTCCAAGACCAGCTTCCCTCCCTGCAAAACAGAGAAATTAGAATAAACGAGTGTAAATTAGCAGACGTTGCCAGCACCTAAGTGTTTCTGAAGCTTGAAAATGGTACAATACACGTGGGTGTTCAGTAAAGCAGCTCCACAGTCATTCATTACAGAAAGGCAGAGAGCTTGCAAGTTATGCCTTGAAACCAAAGCCCCAACACTCCCAACATCCCAGTAAAACCAGCTCTCAGCCTGCCCTAAAATCAGCAGCCAGGAGGTTTGTGTTTGTCCAAAATGAAGCAACGACTGAAGAGCTGAGAAATAAAAATCAGTGCAAGGACTGAGGCATAACTCATGACACAGCACGTCTGTCCACTTGCTATGGAAACTATGTTTGGCAAGTATCAGGTGTCTGAATCTCTGCTTATGTACATCTCCCAGGACAGCAGTGTATTTATAACACAGGCAGCCTAAAAACAGAAATTATCACTGAGAAAAGCTACCCTTCTGCTGAGAGTTCCCTGCTGTAGCCTGGGTATTGTTGTCGCGCTTCGCTCAAACAGCACAGAAGTTTGTTTCCTTGTTTTTCAGATTTGCCATCTAAGCTGATCTCAATTGAAGGAAGACCAATAAACAAAAGGAAGGGAAAGGAAAATTACAGCAGGAAGCAAACCTTATTGTAAGCACAGCTTTCTTGAACGTCTTCCCATCCAGGCTCATGCTGCCATGCGAATATGGAGAGCCAGCAGCAGCCAGCGTGCTGGCTTAAAGGCACAAACCTTCTCCAGAGACCTGCAGAAGCATTAAGTTCCTGGAAGCTCATGCAGGCGGATGAGATGGCCCAGGCACGGCAAGGAGCGTGAAAAGCAAGAAGCCAAACACAGAGGAAAGGAAGCAGACACAGGCTTCCAGGCAGGGGCAGAACTCTCTTAGAGAACTTCTCTTAGAGAACTGGGCACAGAGAGGAGCATGGTGACAGAAGCAGAGTAGGAAAAAAAAGCAAGTCCAGGTTCAAAATGCAGGCCAAGGGGTTGGAAGGGGAAGCACAGGAAGGAAGCTGCTCAAGCTTCGGTGAAGATGGAACAGCGCTGGAGAGGTTACTCCAGATAAACTAAGCTTTCTTAAGAGCAGCTTTAACTCAACAGCCCTGGAAGGACTGTGGCGGCAGCAAAGAAATGGGCATATGGGATTAAGATCCACACAGGGTTTCTCCCGTATTCTCAAATCGTTTCAGAGATGCGCTACTCGTGCCACTCACTCCCAGCTTGACAGGTTTCCTCATCAATGGGGGAGGCCAGGAAAGCTTGTGCTCCCTTTGTCAGAGGGCAGCACGTCTCCACACAACTGAAGCGTGCTGCCCCCCCGTGTCAGACCGTGCCCATGAGACTCAGCTCCAGGCAGCAGACAGTGCAGACACATTCCTAATTCATCTTGACCCAACAACCATCTTTATTTGCACAGAAGTCAGGAATATGGATTTTCCAAGAAAACCGCCACCATGACACATCTCTTCTGCTGCTCTCTGCCATATGAAGTCGAGGCAGAAAAGATTTTTCGGGGCTGCATCTCAGTTGCTAAAAGGTAAACAATTTCTGCCAACCACTCTGATCACGTTTATCTCAAACCTTAGCTAAGGATGTACTTCCCGTGGGTTTGAGGTGTAAACACTGCCTGTTTCACACCAAACAACGCATGGAGAAGCAGCCCTGCAGGTGTACACAGCAGCACAGCTACTAGAAGGCAAGGACTGTTGGTGACCATTGGGCTGGTGAACATCTCTCCCCAGCGTGCCTGAGACAGGTGACAAGAATCTGATATAAAGACACGCTCATCCAAGTGGCTTCCCCAACAGTTTAGAGCGGCGAAGCAGAATGATCTAATTTGAGTCACTGAGAGAATGTCATTACGATCACATGATTATTCAAGTGATCAGGCCAGATAGGACAGAATTAGCCAGGCCAATAGTTCAGATTTCTTCTCCTCTGCCAGGACTCCAACTCTTAAAATAACCAGGGAATTAGCACCAGCCACCCACCTGAGCAGCTGGTTATCGTCACCTGGGCTTTCCTCTGAAATCTCCTGCCAAGCCTGACCTACAGCCGCCAGGGCAGCAGGAGAGTATGTCTCATCTCAGACAGTAAAAGATAAAAGCCAAGTAAAAGCCACAAAACCCAAACTGGGATTTCTGCAGGTCTCAGATTTGCAATAAAAATCCAAATTCTAATTGCACAGTGAAACTGCATTTTCAAACAGGACTGGTTATCTGCAGTCAGCTAACACAGGTTATGTCAGAACAAGAATAAATCTTGATGCACAACAAAAAGCTACACTCAGCTTTCTGAACTCGTACTACTGGTGACAAAATCCCGCCTTCCCCTTCCTGGTTCCCCCACCCAGATGCTCATTACAATACTGCAATGTGCTTATCTCCCTCTGAAGCAAAAGATATCCTTGTTTCACACAGGCAGTGAAACTCAAGTACAGGGATAAGGTGCTGCAGGGCCCAAAGGACAACAAAACTCCTAATACAACCCAGACTGCTCTGGATGCACCTTCTCAAAGAGCCTTGCTCGCTCTTGAGAACAGCTGGATGTAAGAGTTGTCACCATTTGCTCCTCTCCACAGTTCACCAAGGCCATTTTCCTCTGCCTCTTACTACCTTCCTAACCCCCCTCCTTCATTTTCCTCTGCCTCTTACTACCTTCCTAATCCCCCTCCTTTCCAAGTCCTCTGCAACCAACTCCACACCCTGGCAAAGGTGAGTCTCCCAGGCATTGCTGAAAGCAGGGCTGAAAGGCCGTGGCTGGCTCAGGCAGCGCAGTATATTCTGCCTCTGTCCTGCACAGCACGGGCACATCCTGACCAGTCAAACAGGAGATGAAATTCAAGGTTTGTCTTTCTTGGGGAAAAAAGTCCCTCACTCTCTATTTGCCTAACTATGTGAGAACTGGCATGAAACACAGACATTCAGTTAAACAGAAGAACCAATACCAATAGCCAGCACAGTTGAAAAATTATTATTATTTTTTTTTTATAACCCATCATTAATTATAAAGGTAATATACAGCCCACATCAGCAACTTCTGAATGGACAGCCTCACACTGTCTCTCAAAACAGCGAGCGCTAGAGACAAGTTACAGAATTAACTGAAGGTTCTGGCACAGCTCTAGGCGTGTCACAGGTGTGCACCAGTGTCATGGGCACTGGTGTGCACAAAGCCAAGAATATCTTCAAAGGCATAGAAGACCGTAGGTCCTCTGATGGCTAAAGAGGAGGGGGAGGATTTAGGAATAGATTCCTTGCCTAAGAAAGACTGAAACAGTCTAGCCAAGATGAACTGAGCCAGGGCAGTGGAACAACTAGAGGCTCCACCTCAACAGTTTTTGAGTTGACAAAAAACATGGCTACAGCCACCAACTTTTTACGTCTATTTCTGTTTCTTCAGATTTGGTTTTTCTCTTGGCTGCTTCTTTGGTCTCTGCACAGCATTCTTGACACTGGCAGGGGGCAGTCTGAGAGTTATTTCATTGTCCTCTGCATCATCATCCGCCTGGGAAGCCTTTCGGCGCTCGAGCACTGTTGGAGTACAGACCGGAGTAGGATCCTGAAGAGATCAGAAAGACACAATTCATTGCAAAGCATCTGCCAGAGAAGTTGTCACTGCCTCTCTGGTACCTCAAGGCACCTCAGACCAGCTCTCCTTCAGAATTTCCACATTCTAGGGCAAATTGTTTTCCTTTTACAGCTAGCTATTTTTGTAGACAGTACTTCTGTAGACAAAAGCATCATCTTCAAAAATGTGTATGTGAAAGGCAAATGTAAATTAACTCACATTTTCTAACATGTCATTATGCACATTTGCTTTCTAAACTTTACCTTTCCTGACTCAAAGCACAAAGAAAGCCAAGAGGAAAAGAATCACAAAGGAGGGGAAGCATAATTGAGACTGGCAGACAGAAATGCCACATTCAAGCCCACAGCAGAGCTGAAACATCCCAGCTTCATTATCTCAGTAAGTTCTCAGAACTCAGTTGACTGAATGTATGAGTTACCCTGTTTTCCTCCCAATTATCACAAGTAAATCCAGTAACATTAAAAAAAACAAAACCAAATTCACAGCAGTGATAAAACAGAAACATTAAGACCTTACAGACTTTTCAGACTGTCAGTGCCCAAAATCTCAGTCCTGATGACCCAAGCTTTCCCTTCATCCCACTGCTAGTTTTAGCTGGCATTAATTTTCAAAATAGTGGAATACCATGCACGAGGGAGGAGGGACAGTCTAGTAGGTAAATGGGGACTGTATTAATGGTTCAACTTCCTTTTTGTCAAAACAGGCTGGTATTATAATGTAGTGCAGACCAACAGAAGGATGTCAGCAAGATCACTCCGTACCAGTTTACAGCACAGATGCAGGTGGTGTACAGGTCACTGTACCCAGCACCCTGTGCTTCTCCTGCCTCAAGTTAGTGCTGCCTGAACACACCTCAGGCCAAGCACTGCCAGTTACAACGTGCTGAGCAGAAGCCTGTGCTGCTAAATACTGCCCCAGGAGAAAGGACCAAGAGGATCCAACCAACATACCCTGTTCAAGAGTGTTAATGTATCTCAAAGTAGCTGCTTTTGGCACAAAAATCTCTCAAGCAAGTAATATCGAAGTGAATATCAGGTGTTGAAATTAATGTAAAGAAACCAGCTGCAGACCTGAAACATCTACCCCAGTGTGAATGGTGGAGCGTGGTGCTGGGCATTTCCAGGACTCTTTGGTCTTACCTGGCTGCTCAAAGAAACATTCAGTTCTGGTTTCTTGGATGTGTTAACATTTTTTCTCTTTATGGAAAGCTCCTGTGCAGCCTAGGAAGCAAGACAGATCAGGGGGATCACTACAAACTTCTTTGTGTGAAGATGCAAATGGTCATTTAACAGTCTATGGGTTTTTTTGCTTCATAACTAGAAAATCTTTGCTACAGTGACTAAGTTCTCATTAATAAAATGACTTGCAGTGCCACAGAGTTGATCTGGTTTGAACAAAACCACCCAAAGTAGTGTAAGAAAACTGGGCATTTTTTAAAAACAGCAGTTAAACAGCAGTGCTTGAACTTCAACTCACTTCACCCAAGCACTCTGCAAACGAGCAATCACTTGTTTAGCTTAGGCAAGGCGTAGGGATGGAAGCTCTAGTCTTGGGACCTGCCTTCAAATACCTACCCCCCCTCTTCCCAAAATGCCTCCCTCGGGGCTTGGGCAAAGCTCCTGTTGCTCTTCTGTGATCCACAGACAGACTTGAAAACCCCAAGACATCCTACAGTTTATACAAACAGAAGAAAAGGAACGTCTTCCCTTTGTGTTAATTATTTACTTCTCTACAACCCAGCAACAGCATTACACTAATTTCCAGAAACTTCTATACAGTTCTTAATGATAGCAAGTCTCCCCGGTGCTCCAGCTTTTTCAATAGTTCCACACAAAGCATGATTTTCTTGTATTTCGTACAACCTTAAAAACATGTTTTACATAAAACACTCATCAAAACAATGCCAAACTTACAAATCCTGGGAAGTCGTAGTTGAGCCCCTTTTCAGCCAGCCTCTTCCGTAAGAGCTTCTCCTTTCGCAGCAGTCGCTTCGTCATCTTTGCCTTCTGGAGGAGGGAGCGTACCCGGTTGTACCGCCGGACCGCTGGCTGAGAGGGCTTCAGAAACCTTTTGTCACAGTTTTTGAAGAGGTTTTCGTGGACCCTTTCTGGAGATATGAACTGACCTGTATCACAAATGTAAAACAGCAGAATACTTTTTCAGTTTCACACAGAAAAAAAGTCAGAGAAACCTGCTTTTCAAAAGCTGATACTCACAATCCTTTACAAAACAAGCATTACTATCACCATATCTGAGAAACTCGCTAATTTCATTAATCTTTTAATCAAAAAAGCCCCCTATGTCTAACAAAACAGACAGCAGCTACACAGTTACAATTGACAAAGAATTTCCACATCAAAGGAACTGTCTCCACAGCAAACCCCACTGCTCCCTGAGATTTCATGTTACACAATTACACAACAAGTATTATCTGTGTAGAGGGGAAAAAAACCAGTACTAGTGACCAACAGGCTGCTGAGGACGTCCTTTACACAGGAAGAAAAGCTCAGTTCTGCAGAAAATCCTTTGGGGATAAAACTTCATTTAAAAAAAAACAGGATTCCCTAAATAGTCCAAAACAGTAACACAAATGACTATGAATTTCCTTTGCACATTAAAGGACTTACACTTCAGCAGTCTTTCAGAAAACAGATAGTTGTTCATTGTGTCCGCAACGATCTTAGCCACATCATCGGACTCAAACTCTATAAATCCGTAGCCTTTGCTGGCTCCAGTCTGCAAGGAACGACAGAAAGAAATGTGAAACGACGCCTCCATACCTGAAGAGCTAAACTTATTTTATGTTTCTGGAGTCACAGCCCATTCTCAGCTAAACACAAGCAATTTCACAAAGTTCAGTGAAATCATTAAAAGCAGCAGATGTGCCCTTGTGGCAAAGAAGGCCAATGGCATCTTGGGGTGCATCAGGAAGAGTGTGACCAGCAGCTCGAGAGAGGTCATCCTGCCCCTCTACTCTGCCCTGGTGAGGCCCCATCTGGAGCACTGTGTCCAGTTCTGGGCTCCCCAGTTCAAGAATGACAGGCAGCTGCTGGAGAGAGTACAGCAGAGAGCTACAAAGATGATTAGGGGCCTGAAGCATCTCTCCTACAAGGAAAAGCTGAGGGACTTGGGTCTTTTTAGTCTGGAGATGACCAAGGGGAGATCCAATCAATGGTTATAAATACTTAAAGGGTGGGTGTCAAGGGCCGGTCTTTTTTCGTGGTGCCCAGTGACAGGACAAGAGAAAATGGGCACAAACATAAGAAGTTCCATCTAAACACAAGGAGGAACTTCTTTACTTTGAGGGTGGCAGAGCCCTGGAACAGGCTGCCCAGAGAGGTGGGGGAGTCTCCTTCTCTGGAGACATTCAAAACCCGCCTGGACATGTTCCTGTGCAAGTTGCTCTGGGTGGACCTGCTCTGGCAGGGGGGTGGACTAGATGATCTCCAGAGGTCCCCTCCAACCCCATGTGATTCTGTGAGGTCCCAAATTGGTAAGATGTTATTCTTAGATATTTATCTGCAATTGAAACAAACTGCTCACTGATACCTATTTGTTAAAAGAAACAACCATCCTGCATTGTTGCTGTCACCAAGTGTATAGAGTAATAATGTAACACGGTGATAAATCCAGGCATGAGAAGCTGAATTTATCAAGCACAAAAGCAACAAAAAGTGTGTATTGCTTCACACTTTCCCTTGAACGAGTGCATTCTGCCACCCCCCTCACACAAGCCGTCACTCGTGGAAAAAGGCGGCTCCGTTAACTGTGGCTGGAGCCGCCTATTCGCAGCGGTGCTCCTTTCACTGGTAGGGTTTTTAGGACAAGCCCTTACTCGCGGCGCCCCCCTCCGCCCGCTCACCACACTGCAGCCCCGCTTCCCACGTGGAGGCCGGGAAGGCGGAGCCCCGGGCAGGCGGCAGCGACACACGGAGCTGCCCCGGGAAAGGAGCCAGCTCTCTCCGTTCACCGAGTCGGCAGCTTGTGCGAGAAGTAGCCTCAGAGACGGCCGGGCTCGGCCTGAGGCCGCCGGTATCTGTCTCGGGCGGGAACCGGGGCGGGGAGAGACGCGCGGGACGGTTGGTTACCTTCTTACTCCTGGAGAGCCGGAGCCGCGTCACCGTCCCGAACTGCCCGAAGTACTCGTGCATCTGCGGCTCGCAGACACCCCGCGGGAGGTGCCCCACGTACACCACGCCCGGCGTCAGCTCCTCCTGCGGGGCACAAGGCAGCGCTCTCACCGCGGGCCCGGGGCACAAGGCAGCCCTCTCACCACAGGCCCAGCCCGGCCCGGCCGCCCCCGCCCCTTTCCGGCGCCCCGCTCACCTTGGCCGCCCGTTTGTTGCGGACCCGCTGCACCTTCTGCTGGAACTCGCGCTGCAGCCGCGGCTCCAAGGCCAGGAACGACGCCGTGGGTGCGGACGCTGGAACCTCCGCCGCCGCCTCCTTCTCGGCCGCCGCCATGCTGCCGCCGCCGGAAGCGCGTCACTCCCCCCGCACGCGGCGGCGGGGGCGCGCAGGCGCAGAGCCGCGGGGCGCCGTCTCCCAGCAACCGGGCGCGGCGCCGCCGTGCTCCCCCTCCTTCCCACCCCCCCCTCGACGACGTCGCCTAGCAACGCGGCGCCGTCCCTGCCGCCGCACGGGGCCGGGCCCCGCCGCACCGGGAGGCGGCCTTGGGTCACGGACACCCCCGCGGGGCGAGTAGCTCCCGGCGAGCACCCGCTCGCGCCGTCCTCTCCGCCAATCTCGCTCTTCCCGCCCCTCAGGCACTGCGCGGGGCAGCCCGGCTGAGGCGCGGTCAGGCAGCGCGCGGGGCAGCCCCCGCGCCGGCGGTACAGAAGGCCCCCTACGGGCGCGGGAGGCCCCAGCGGCGGGAGGCGGCGGCGGGCACCATGTCGGTGAGCGACATGTTCATCGTGCTGCAGGGCGTCCTCACCGCCGACCAGGACATCCGCGAGGTGGGCGGCGGGTTGGGGACGGGACCGGGGACGGGCTGAGGTGGGGCGGCGGGGTGTTCGGGGCCCGCGGCCCGATGCCTGCCTGACGGCGGCCTGTCCCCGCAGGAGATCCGGAAGGTGGTGCAGGCGCTGGAGCAGACGGCCCGGGAGATCCTGACGCTGCTGCAGGGCGTGCACCAGGGAGCCGGCTTCCAGGACAGTGAGTTCGCCTTCGCTGGGGAGCGGGGGACGGGCGTTCGAGGGGGGGGCGCGGGAACACCCCCCGGTGTCACCGGCGCCCCTTTCCTGGGGTGTCAAGCGTGGGCTTCTCAGAGGCTGCTGTGGCGGGGGCGGTCTCCTGGGGGGTTTCAAGCCCAGCAAGTGGAAAACCTGCCGTTCAGCCTCAGGAAACTGTTCTTTCCCCTTCTCCCGGCCCCATGCCGGTGTTTCAGAGTCTCCGTGCAGAATTGGGCTCTTTTTGCGGGTGTTCACTTCCTGGGTTGTAGAATTCGCTCACAGATTTCCCTCTAAGTGACGTGCACGTAGATTTATATATCCTGCTAATTTCACCATCACCTGTTGGGCCTTTGTATTTGTTTCCTCTTCCTGGCCCCTTCACCCCGCCCCCTAAAAAGCCGTGACACCGGACGCTCAGGGGGCCGTTCAGGACGCTGTGGGGAGGGCAGGACTTTGGTCTGGTTTGTGTGAGACTGACCTGTGTGTGTCTGTATGTGTAAAATCTGCTTAGTGTTGCAAAATCTAAAGGGAGTTTGCAATGGCTTATAAAGCAGGAGCTGTGCTCGATGTACGTTTGAGTGGCAACTGGAATTGTTCTGGTATTTTTGAGGTTTGGGTGAAAGCTGGCCTGGTTCCTTGCTTTCAGTCCAAATTTGTTTAAGGTATTTAATGTTTCGGACCAACCCGTTTCACCCAGGGCACAAGAACAGACCTAGATGCCACATAAAATTTTGGTTCCCCCATCCTCATTTTTAGACTTACTGGTGAAACTACTGGAATAAGTGAGATTTTTTTCCTCTTAAATATGTGACTTAAAAGCTGTTTTTCAAGTCCATGAATATTTCCTGACAAGAAGCATCCATTCTGACTTTCCTGGAAACCCTTGAGAGGAATTTGGGGAAGGGGAGATACCTGGCAGGCCACCCTCTGAAGGTGAATAGGAGAAGGAACCTCAGCAGATGTTGTTTTATTCACCTGCAGAGCTGACTGGTTGTCATCAGCCTGGTGACATTCAGCAGCACGTTCCTGCTGGAGCTGGAGACCTGGGATTTCTCTGGCCTCCGAGAGGATACGTGTTTAGCAACGTGCGACACCGGAGGTTTGACCTCTGCTGGCAAGTGCAGCTTCCACCTACTTAAGAAATCTGGCAGTGCTAAAAATTAGGACTACTAATTGGCTAATACACTCATTTTTCTAAGCTGAGTGAGCCCCTGGAAGTTGTGACAGTTGTGTTGCGTGGGTGTCAATGTCAGGGGTTGCTTTCCGGCGTTTAATAGTGGAGATCTGCACCTGGCTCACTATTTTTCACACTTGATTTTTCTGGGAGAGAACTGGTTCTGGAACTTGCAGAGTCTGAGAAGAGATTTGGAATAGTTAAAAGTAGAAAAAAAAAAAAGGGAAAAAAAGAAGCTCATCTTAATTCTTGTCATACCAAAGATAATGAATGCATGCTTAATAGGTTAGGAGTTAACTCATGCTAATAGACCTGTCAGTTTGTCATCAATTCCAAGCATAATAAAGAAAGTCAATAAAGGTTCAGATTAATAAAAGTTTACAGCAGAATGATATAATGCCAATTACCAGAAGGATTGTTACAGGGGTAAGTAGCACCTGTCAGATGTCACATGTTTAGACTACAGTTTTATTTGATAATGGTTGTAGTTGTGCAGTGTAGTGCCCTTGAATGGCTGTTTGGCTTTACTACAGCGTCTCGTTTGTTGAGTCTGTACCGTATTTTTACTAAGAAAATACAGTGATTCTTCCTTAGCAGATTAAAAAAGGATAAGTGATGTCTCTTGGAACTATGGAAAAGGATTATTCATTGCAGTGGAGTTCTGGCAAGACTTCTTAGCATCAAGGCTTTTTAGCCTTATCTTTGCTTACATCTTGGAATAAATAAATATATTAACACTATTAATAACTATATTGAACTATAAAAATATTAAATGATAAATAAACTATATAGACTAATAACTAATTAATAAAAAACCAAAATTACTACAAGTTCACAGGTGACAGGTAACTCCTGATGCTTGGTGACTGCAGCTCTGTGGCCGCGGGTGGTTTAAGCTGGTGCTGCCGACAGAAGCTGTGGTGCTTCTTGTGCCCTCTCCCTTGTGCCAGCAGGAGACGGCTTTTTTGGGAGACGGCATCTTTTTTAGTGGTGCTCAGTGACAGGGCAAGAGGAAATGGGCACAAACTTGATCATAAGAAGTTCCATCTAAACGTGAGGAGGAATTTCTTTACTTTGAGGTTGGCAGAGCCCTGGAAGAGGCTGCCCAGAGAGGTGGTGGAATCTCCTTCTCTGGAGACATTCAAAACCCTCAATGACACGTTCCTGTGCAACCTGCTCTGGGAGGACCTGCTTTGGCAGGGGGGTTGGACTGGATGCAGAGGTTCCCTCCAACCCCATATCATTCTGTGATTCTGTGTAACTGCTGTTCACGGTGCCAGCTCCTCTGGTCTCTCTGCAGCGAGCACAAGACTGTGTTAGCTGTGGGATAAGCTCTGTCAGTCACAGCCTTTATTCAGCTGTGGGGAAGGGAAGGAAAACCAGCAGAGCCTCAGGCCAGCAGCCTCCACAGCAGGGCTAGAGATCTCTCTCTTTCCACTCTCTCTGCTCCCTGTCCAAAACAGAGTTTGGGAACTGCTCGGAAAGCTGTTCAGGGCAACGTGTGCTGCAGCCAGCTGTTAGCTGACAGGACTCTGCGTGACAAGCAAGGTCTTTGGAGGCTGAAACTCAATTTAGTATGTCTTTGCTCTTGAGACACTTTGTGTTAAGTTAGGCAAAGCATCTGTGGTGATCCAGTGACTCCTAGTGGGGCTTGTTTGATAAAAATAATTCATCACAGCTTCCAGATTTAGCTTCTGTGGATCTTGTTTAAATAATCCTATCTTCTATACGTCGAGATGCAGGAGAGCCTGTCGGGTTGATCTTCTGTCTTCCCTGGGTCGTGACCAGGATTCCTGAGGCGGCTGCAGTTCAGAAGTACTGGTTTGGGTAGTTCTGTCGGCCCCGGTACTGCGGGCACAGGGTGGCTGTAACTCGTATGGCTAAACAGGAGGTGGCAGTGGGTGGTACACAAACAAGGGAGCATTTCTCTGCAGAGGTATAACATACATTGGGCAGGTACAATATACATGGGCTAAAACCCAGTTTCTTAAAATAAAATGTCATTTCCTGAAGGGATGTATTCCCCGATGCCTCTTGGTCTGTAGGTTGCATGACCTTTCCAGCGTTTTCCTCTGTCAGTGCCCATTACAGAATGGGTTCTTCATCCATGATGTAAGTTTTATAGTAGCAGTAATTACTCACGATTAGCAGTGATTCTTAAATAACACTGGGGCATCTTGTCTTAAGTTCAAAGCCAAGGTCTAGAGCAGATCAGACAGCCCAAAACTCAGGATTATATCTGTCTGTGTGACTCCTGGTGCGACAGAGGGTATTTCTGAGGCTGATTTGAATGCGAGTGGGCTGTCTCGGTCAGCAAAGGAGCACCCATAACACCAGACTGGAAAACTCTCTGTTTACAGAACCCTGTTCTCTGTCGAGTACTGATGTTGTGCTGTTTCTTTTTCAGTACCAAAGAAATGTCAGAAGGCTCGTGAACACTTTGGCACCGTGAGAACGCAGCTGGAGTCTCTGAAGACCAAGTTTCCCGCTGATCAGTATTACAGGTGAGCAGGATCACTCACAGCCAGGTGTGGATGCGGGAATTGCCTGGGCATATCGGGCATCGTTACTTTGGGAGAATGATTTAAAGGTTTATGGGCCCAATGCTTCTTTCTGTTTGAGAAGTGTGAGGTTTTTATAACCACAGATAAAAAATGCTTCTGCTCAAACTCTTGATTTTTAACTTTTCACTAAAAATACCCAGTATCTAATCCTTTTTCTAGAAACTTTTTTAAAAAAAGAACAATGAAAGTTTAAGCAATCGGTGTTCTGTTGGAGCTGCCCTTGTTTCTGAGAGCAGAGCTCTCAGTCTGTCACAAAATGGCTGTTTGCTGCTGCAGGTACTACATGAAGTTGTCACCTTGGTGTTTTGTTTGCTGCCAGAAGGGGACGGTGTCTGGCAAGAACATTGCACAGAACAAGAATCTTGTCAGCTCAGATCTGCCGAGGGCGGGTGGGAGGGAAAGCTCTGGGTGCCCTTGTGGGCGAGACAACCTGACAGACTCCCTGAACCGAGGAGGTGTGCGAGGAGCCAGCGCCCGGCGTAGTGTCTGGGGAGAGGGGGAAGCTGTGGAGTACCAAGGATATGACTTTAAGCTGGTGTCATTTTGATAAGCCAAAAATATTGCAAAGTTCTACGTGTGAAGGTGGAAGACATAATGTATACATAATGTATGCTTGTTGCCCAGCTCTCCAGTAATAGGTGTTACTTATTTATACCTTGACTTGGTGTTTTCTTCGACAGATTTCATGAGCACTGGAGGTTTGTGCTCCAGCGGTTGGTGTTTCTGGCAGCGTTTGTTGTCTACTTGGAGTCAGAAACGTTAGTGACCCGAGAGGCTGTTGCAGAAATACTTGGGAGTAAGTTAATGTTGTAACTGAAGAGGAAAAAGCTTGTGATGTTTTTAGATATCGTAGCTTTGAGAGGTCCAGGGAAACGGCAGAACTTCAGTTCTTCTCAAGAAATAGTTTCCAAAATTTATCTGGCATTTGATTTCATTATATAAACAGGAAATTGTTTTAGAAGGTGGAAAATGGCAAATCTAATGTGAACAAAAGTATTTAGTAATAAATTCATCATCAATGAAGACTATTTATTCAAATTGCCTAAATTTACTAAAAGAATAATACAAAGATGAGAGCTTATTTTTATCACTTTTTGCTTTTGGTGTTTAAAAAGTGTAGAAAACAGATCAAATTTTTATGTTGTAGGAGAACTCCATCCTCCCAGAGCAAAGGATTTGAAAAAAAAAAAATTCAGGCAAATATTTTTCTAAGAACGAACTGCAGACCCCTCTCCTATACATTAATGTAAATTCGGTTATTCTGTTGGATCAACTATAACCTATTGCACGTCCAGTGGAGGATGTATGAGATGCTGAACTGAAACGCTGAGAAGCGGCAGTAATTGCATCACATACAGGAAAAGACTGACTTTTATTTTGTAATAATTTTTCAAAAATTTGATATTTCAAGTTAACTCCAGTAAACAAATGCAATTTCAGCTCCCTGGTTTCGCTCACGTTCAGCGCCACCTGATTTACCGCTGTGTTTTCCATCCTAGTTGAAGCTGATCGAGAGCGGGGCTTTCACCTGGACATTGAAGACTATCTTTCTGGTGTGTTAACGCTCGCCAGTGAGCTGGTAAGGAAGATATTCATGCATATATTTGGATTGAAACTGACTTGAAATAGTGTTTTCTAACTTTTCAAGTCATTCCTGAAAGTTATGATATGCAACACCTCCATGTGAACTCTAGCAAACCACCTGTCTAGCCCAGAATTGTTCCTCGCTGAAATCTTAAGATTTAAACTAGGCACTTGATTGAAAATCCAGGATGTTTTCAACAAAAAGGTAGACCCGAGTATAAATAATCTGGCTGCCTGGACCAAAACTGCTTCGTTTGGTATAATAGCCATTGGGAATAGTGATGTGATTTGGGTGGGTTCCTCTGCTGATGTTCTCCCCTGTGTCTCCCTCTGGTAGGCCCGACTGGCAGTGAACAGCGTCACGGCGGGCGACTACTCTCGCCCTCTCCGCATCTCAACCTTTATCAACGAGCTGGATTCCGGCTTCCGTCTCCTCAACCTGAAGAATGACTCCCTGAGGAAACGGTACGACGGCCTGAAATACGACGTCAAGAAAATCGAGGAAGTGGTTTACGACTTGTCGATCAGAGGACTCAATAAGGAGGCAACAATTAGTGCGGGTGGAGAGAAGTGAAGGATGCTCGTTTTAACAGCCTCATTGATTACCTCAGACGGTTGCCAATTCCGGGGGGGTGCTAGCGAAGCCTTCCTACAGTAGTTTAGAAGAACTGCAGCTGAAAGCTGCTCTCTATTTTCTTACGAAAGGTGTAGTACGGGTGTGAGGCCTCAAAATGTTTTGTAAAATCCTGTCTAGATTAGGGCGGGAGGCTCCCTGTCTCCAGTGGAATTCCTCTGTCAAACCTGGTGCCCTCCCGAGCGCAGCGGCAGTAGCTGCCACTGACTCCCACGAGCTCCAGTTCTCCTTTAGTTGTGTCGTGTTGCTTCGCTGCGCCGGCAGTGACGTGTCCCCACTGTCCCTGCTCACACACCTTCACAGGCGTGAGCAGGGCTTGCAGCACGGGTACATGTGGTGTTTTAAAACACAGCATGTAAATATCTATACTTTTTTTTTTTAAGACACAGATAATTTTTTTTTGCCTTTTTATTTCTTAAATTTTCACTCACGTCAGTAAGTTGGACAGATTTGCATAGCTGTTTACTAACCAGATCTTTAAAAATGGGTTCTGTTAATGTCTCCCCCTTAATTGAGAAACTAGTGAAAATATTCCTGAGAATTTCTCCATTGGAACTGGTGTGCGGCACCCGGACACATCTCTCTCTCTTTTGTGTTTATTTTTCCTTTCCTCCAAGATTTCTTTTGCCGGGGGAGCAAGGTGTTCTCAAACATCTGCTTTCAGTGGCAGGTATTTGTTTTACTGACACGAGTAAGTGCTGAGTTTTAACATGATCGTTTGCCTTGAGAACCCGGTGTAACCAATGTTATTTTATTTTTTTTAACTACCAAAGTTTCCGAATAGAGCAGCGGTAACCGATAAACTGCAGGGAGCACCTGAGTTTTAACAACCTACGTAGGCTGCAACCGTACCCGTGTCCTGGGATTAAAGAAAAAAAAGACCACACCAAAAGTATAGTCCATGTAGTAAAATGTTTGTACGTTCAGAAAAGAGGAAATTACTAGTTTCAGATACTCTGCATGTAAGGTGTTTGCAAACACCAACAGCCTCTTTCCTTTGTGTAAATACCTCCCAGGTTGTTTGTTCCCTTTGTCCTAAATGCCTTTGAGTTTTGCCATTCTCCTCCTACTTCTGGTGGTGCAGGAGGGTTAAGGAGAAAAACAAACTTACTTAGGAGGAGGAATATTTCCAGAGGATGAACACAAACAGCCAAGTTGATGTGGGGTTTGTTAGTGTTTCATTTTGTTAGCAAAGATTTCCCACTGTTTCAGTTAAGTTTTTGTTTTGTTTATTGGAAAAAAATGATTTCTTGGTTATTTTGGCCAATAAAAGCTGTTCTTTGATTTTGGCCATTTGGTAACTCCGCCTCCTGTCTCAATGTCTGTTGTTATTTGCTTCCCTTCCTGGGAACCCACCTAAATCATAATATAAGTTCAGGCTTCAGCTCTGCTTGGACAGCAATAGAGCTTCTCGCTTTGGCTGTTCCATGGGACACTCCCTTGTGCTGGCGAGTGGAGCCGAAGTCAAGCTGCAAACAGATCTCATAAGCTTTTTTTAACTTTTAATTTTGACCTATTCCACTAGGTATGGAGGAGTTTATCATCACCAAATCCAAGGTGTGGCAAGGTTCATCTTCAGAGCATCTCATCATCTTTAATGTCTGTCCTTATCTTCGTATCTTATGTCACATAACGTAGGGAGATGGTAATATCCCTCTTTCACAGCTGAAGAAAAGGAGGGTGTAACTTCCTGAGCCCCATGACGACAAGACCAGCTTTCAAAGTAGTTCTCTCCTCTTGCCCGATGCCACCGTTTGCTTCTTTCTCACTTTAACCCTGTGGAGGTGGGAGGAAGGAAGGAGCTTAAGCCAGTTCTACTGCCAGAACCAGAGGCTCGTGAAACAACACCCAAAGGCTCTGAGACACAGCAAGGTCACACAGGAAACGCGTGGGAGCAGGGGAATTAAAGAAAGGTTTCCTGAGCCTCAGTCTGTGGGGCTGGAGGACTCCTGGCACGTGGGACTGGGACGGGAGGCCACGTGGTGGGGCAGGTTTCTGGTTTGTTAAGGCTTTGCGCTGACTTGCGTCCCAAGCGCTCCGGTCACGTTTGGTCAGGCAACGGGTCTGCTTCCTGTGTGCCCAATGGAGCTTTTCAGCAGATCCTAGGTGTGCCAGCTTTTGCATCTTATGTGGTGTCCTGGAGTTGGTGGAGATACAGCAGGACTGCACCAGAGGTGCAGGTACTCTGGGAGAGACAACTGGAAGAGCAAGTCTCTTACTCAGGGCTTACAAAGTCTGCAAAGTGTGGGATCCTTCTGTCTGAGGCTCTGGGAAGAGCAAGTGCCTGAGAAAGAGACACTCCAGTCTCGTGTTCCTGGAGGGTGTTCTTTCCCGTTCCTCGGTTCTGGGAGAGCCCAGCATCTTCTTCTGAGAAAGCATCATTTGCAGGGCCGGGCTGCGCAGTGCGTTCCCAAGACAGGTCTGGGTGAGGGAAAGGAAAACCACAGACTCTCCCTGGGCTGCGGCAGGGAAAGCTGGGGACATGCTTTGTGTGGCTGCCTCTGCGCAGAGGTAGCCTGTAGGACATCGTGGCCTTGATTGGGAATCTGCACATTCCTCTCTGGTCCTAAATGGTAAATTCTGTTTCTGTCCCAGAGAAGGGAAGACCCAGAAGGGCTTGAGCAGGGGGGTTCTTTCTCCTCTGGCCCTTCCCTTTCCCAGGTTAGCCAGGGGGAACAGCAGTGGGAGTGGGAGCTGGGAGGACTGCAGAAGCTTGGTGGCTCAGGATGAATTGGATGCACTTGAACTGTGACCAAATACCTCCCGTTGGCAGCGAATGGGCTGCGCGGCGTGCGCTGGCAGCCGGGAGGGGAGTGAGTCAGCAGCGCTGGGGAGTCTGACTCAACAGCCCAGGGAGCGCCCTCTTGGATCATATTCACTCACTGGTTTGGGGATTTTCCCCCTCCCCGCCCCCATCTTGATGTCATTTCTGAGGGTTTTCTTTATTTCAGTAAAAAGGGCACTTAAATAGTTGATTAACTGCTCTTTATTTATAGCACTGCCTGTTCCACCCCTGCGGATCGATGAAAGCGCTGACCTGAAACCGTTTGGGACACCGGTGTGGAGAGAGCTGCGTGGTGCAGGATGCGGAGGAGACCTGGGGGCTGGCTGTGGAACTGAGCTCCATTTGCTGGAATCGATCAACTGCAGCCCCACACCGGCACCCTCCTCACTCTGGCACTTGCTAAAGGACACGTTATCACCTCCCGACTGCCATATCTAGTGCCACTGCAGGTCTCTGCGTGGTGAGCTGGATGGAGGAACTGATGTAGCTGAAACCATCTTTATTTTCCAGCGGTGTTTGCCACCAACCCAGGTCACCGCACGGTCCCGCACACGCTGTGCCGGTGCGTGGAGGGAGGCTCCCTCCTCTCCCTGCGGTGCCAGCTCTAAGCACTCGCTGGGCTGCGACACTACGTGGGGAATTGTCTGATTTTCTTGCAGTAATTTAACCGCTTCCCATTCTGTAAGGATCGCCAAGGCTTTTCTCTTTGGATAAATAATTTGCCTTCATTTTACTGCAAAAGCGGTGATTTCTGTGCTATAGAGCCTCGCTCGTGTTTTTCAGCCGATAAGGTCATTACACACAAAGGCAATTAATGAGAGCAGAAAGTGAACACGGATGACTCCTGGGGTCTGTGCGTGGATATTGACCCGTTACTCATCAGCAGTCCATCCTCCCTCATTAATTAGCGTCTGTTGCTGGATACCGCACTGTACTGCAGTGCGTGGAGGGGCTGTTCAGAGCCTCCTGCCTGCTGCACTCACAGAGTGTCTTTAACAAAGTGATCAATTTTGAAAGGAACAGTCCTTTATGGTATATATCTCCTCTGTGCATGTTGTGGGTGAATTAGGCATGAATTACTTGAAGATGGGCGTTTCCTTTGCAGGTTTCTCTGCCTCTCTGTTGCTGTCACTTCAACCTGTGGTGCTTCTGGCTGGCACTGGTTTGCCATCGCTGGAGGATTGCCCTGCCCAAGGCAGGGTCTTTTCCTAAACGTCTTTTCCTAAAACCAGCCCTTTCTTGAGAGAAGGGGAATGCTCTCCTTGTCCGAGTGCTTGTTCATCTGCACCTTCACGCTATAGGTGTGCAAACATCTAACCTGCTTCTCTTGGGAAAATATAAGAGCCTGAGCCCTGCAAGGGCACTGATGGCTCCGTGGGAAGCCTGCTGGCTCCCACCCCGGTGGGGAGAGGTGTCGGGCTGCCTCCAGGTCTGCACTGGGGCCCTGTGCAGCTCTCATGGGCTTCTGTGGAGTCTGACTTCACCACAGCCTCTTGGAGACTTCACCAGGGTCCACAGAAAGTCTAAAGAGAAGAAAAAGCCTGAGATTTCAGCTCCTGTGAAATGGTCCAGGGCTATAGAGGCCTTGTGCTCTTTGTGTGTTTCAGTTACCCCAGGCATCAGTCATGGGATTTGCTCTGTGACCTTCTTGTGACCTCCAGCCTTCCCACTCTCATCTGTCAGCCCTCCCCACAACACCCAGAGAAACATGTGATGTGGGTCCTCCCAAGGATGTGACTTTGGCACTGCAAGGAAGGTTCCTGTGCCAGAAGGGAGGGTTCAAAACCACTTGGGGCTCCACTGCCGCTGAAACAAAGTGTTCCTTTGCCTGCTCCTACACAAGACACCTTCCCTGGGAGGGCTGTGGGCAGTTGGGGTCTTCTCACCTGCAGCTGAGATGGTTTCTCAGGGATGCAAAGCCTGCACTGGTGGAGATCGCACTGGGGCATGATTTGAGCCAGAGTTGCAGATCATCACTACATCCATCCCTGCTAATGGACCTAGAGCCAGCTGTTCACCTTTTTCCAGCTGTGTAACTGCTCCCAGCCAAGCCTGGGCAGACACCGGTGCTGCAGGACACTCTGCCTGTGTTCGGACTCCTCAGGAGGGCTCTCCACTCCCTGCTGAAGAGGATGCTCTAAATTCCTGTCACTTGACTTTTCCATCCATGTTGTAGAAAGGTTTCCCCTAGAGGACCACCTTCAGCTTCCTGAGCGAGAGATCTTTTTTTCTAATGAGTGCCCTTGGGGCTTGCCTGCAGGTTTTGGACTGTGCAGTGTTATTGTCAAAACTTCTTTTTTTTTTTAATTGCTTGTACCTGTCTCCAGTGATATTGATATTCTGCAGCAGCCTCTGTGAGAAATAAGGCAGTTCCTTTGTCTGCCTGATCGCTAAGACTTTTTGCTCTGTCGTATTCCACTGTAGTGACAGAAGGTCACTCAATGGTGACAGTGAGATCTTTGAAAATGTATTTGATCTCTGTCAGGAGGACAGTTTCCCCCACCACATTTTGTTCCAGGTTTTTCCAATTTAAAGTCAGAGAACACCAGCCTAATTCCAGCTGAACTTCACCTGGCTCCCCAGCATACATTTAAGAGACACAGTGGGCATCACAAAAGGAGAGTTACCACAGCTGCCTCACCCATGAGCTCTGGAGGGGTATCTTTGACATATGGTGCTAGAAGGCTTGAATTATCTTCTCTTTGAGGATGTCGGGGACAAGGAAAACAGTGTGAGATTCACCAGAATCTCCTGCTGGAGACCTGCCTTCCTGGGATTTTAGCTCCGTAATAGATTCACATGCATGGAATGACTGAAGTTCCCCAAGACAGAGATCTGAGATGATCTTGGAGGTTTTTGCAGGATTTGGGATGTGCTGAGGTCAATCTCTCCGTCTCCAGTGACAGCTACAATAAACTATTGCTGGTGCTTGCTTTCAGATGCCTTCTTGATCATGTAGCAAAGACCTACACTGAACGCCCCTTCCCCATCCTCACTTCTGTCAAGAACAACCAGGAATGTACAAAAACACCATAAAAGAGATCTCTGTGCACTAAAGCAGAAGTCTCTGCCCTCTAAAGTAATCGCTGTTCATCTCCCTGTGTTTTTTTCAGGCTTTTCCCACTCAGCCTGCTGACTTTTAACGTAGCCATTTGTTATTTCCTCGGGACCTGAACTCACGGGGGGCTCTTAATGCAGTGCTGTGTCTTCCTGTGTGTCTACTTTGTGAGCTCAAAACCACAGGGATTCTATGATAAAGGCTGCCTCTTGTTGGTCGTGTTGTTTTCCTAGAAAATTACCAGTAAGATTCAACCTAAATTCTTGTTTAAGCTCATTTATGAGTTCTGATAAATCAAGGGAGTAATTGACTTTCTCTTTTTTGCCACTAATGTGGTACTTCCAGAGAAACCAGCCTGGTAAGTTCAGTGGGCAGGAGTCCTGAAAAGTAATCTTAGTATTGTCCGTCATGACAATGAGAGGTATAAAAATATTACGGAGCCTTAGGACAGCCAGTTTGGAAC